CACAGGGGCTTGGAACTGGATGAGCTTTAAGGTCCCTTCCAACTCAAACTATTCCATGAAAGAAGTCAAGCCAGGGATCCATTCCATGCTAGGGATATCTGAAAGGAGTCTTCTGCCCTGGTCAGAAGTGAGACATAAAATTTATGCCATTCACCTTAAGAACTTTGTCCCTGCCACTCAAAAGCCTCTTCTTTCTTGGGCCACTTTCAGTTTTAAGACATGTCATTTGCAAACTGCTGTGGAGTAAAGACTTCAAAGGCTGGCTGAAAAAAATCCAAGGCATATAATGCTGACCAGATTCTACACACACACAACTTCTCCAGCATCATAATTATAGAACAGTACTAAACAAACCCACTTCCCTCAGACATCATACACTGTGACTTTCATAAACAAAGATCTCTTGATGCTGGCAGGGACTGAGGATGAGAGCCAACTTCTTCCCCCTTTGCAAATCTTTCCCAAGGTTTTAGAATTTCAGTTCCAGTCCTAAACTGTGAACTTTTCCAAATTCCATCAGAACACATGGTGTTTATTTGATGGCCTGGTGCCATGTCTTCCTAAAGTCTTCAGCAAAACCACATTTTGAGTCTCATCTCAATTAGGTGGACCCAGGTCTCCATGGAAACAAGAGGAGGGCACTTGCCATGTGCCTAAAGATAAGGGGAACATTTATGAAAGAAGTCTTCTCAACTCATCACCAGAAATAGATCCTGAGGGGAAAACACAATAGTTGGCCAAGCTTCACAAATAATATGGAAAAAATCCAGGGACTTGGGGTTCTGGAATCGGCAGTATTAAACTTCCCACTCTGGCAAAGTGCCGATTAACACAGTCCCACTAAAACAGCTGACCTTGCCCACAACACTTTGGGACTGCACCCAGGGCCAGGATGCCGCACATCAACCCCATCACCTCCATAAACACGGTGTTGCAAAAGCAGGTTCAGTTTTTTTCTGGGATAAGCTCTAAATCAGGTTTTCCCTTTAAAAAAAAGCTCCTCAAGAGCTTGGCAATTCAGCATCTGACTTGGAGACATTTAAAATCACTGGACCACCTCTAGTGAAATGAAACCTAATTAAATATTTGGCTTCACAGCAGAGGTGGAGAGTAACGACCTCTTTCCAAGAACCTGGTTTCAGATCTCTAAATGTCCTGTTATTTTCAAGTCCAATGATTTCAGAAGTGGCATTATGTTCCTAAAATGTCTTTGGCATCAAACAAATACTGGCACTACAGAATTTTCAGAGAGGCATAGGAACCGAGTCATTGCCTATTTTAACCTGCAGCTAACAACACTTGGTGGTTGCATGGACTTTTGACCCAAAATGCAAACAGAGCCCAAGGGAAAGAATTCAAATTTGCTATTTATCATTCCTTATTTTTCCTTCCAGGGGTGAATTCAGGTTTTGGATTACTTTTCAAATTCTGTCACTCAGTCCAAAGGCCAGAGCACATGTTCCTTTGAGCTTATCTCTACCGACAAGCTCATTCAGTAACAGCTGCAATGACCAATAAATTTTATCATTAGAAGCAGCCTAAGAGAATACGGTTCATGTTTAGGCTCCAGAGGTAAAATACCAAATGACAAGATTATTGTGTTACATCAAATGTATTTTCCTGTATTAAAACATCAAGTCCTTTGGAGATAAAATAAATGTGTTATAAAACCACATAAATGCTAATATGGTAGCCTCTGGCTCATCATTACCTCCCTAAACGCTGATCCTTTGACAGCAACAGGAAGATCTTATAAAAAGTCCAGGCAAATATTTGAAGAAAAAACATTTTGATATTCAGAGATGCAAAGTTCTCTATCAGAGCTAAGATGAGAGTCTTATTTAAGAGCTTCCACACATTGCTTTGAAAAATGAAGGAATGGCAAGAGTATGAAACTGAGGGAGAGCATGACTTCAGGCTTAAAAACAGCATAAGGGGAGGAAAACATTAAGAAGTGCTCCTAACCTTATAACCAAGTTATGTTGTTATTTACCATCTACATTTTTAAACACTGTTAAAAGCTTCTTTTGACAGCTCTTTAGGGAAACAATCTGTGAAAAGTGCTTTGAAGGGTGATTTATTAGAAAAATTGTAAGAGACTTCTGGATGTGGAATGATTACTGGCCCCTTGACTACTAGCAGAAGTCTAACCCCACTCCAGTTGGCAACCTGGAAAACAGCAGTATTTCAGAAGGCTTGAAGAAAATATGCAAAGTGGGAAAGATGTGACATGGTACAATTCCCTGTCCTGCTGCCATCCCCCTCAGTTCTGCAGTTTCGAAGGACCAGGAGTGGGAAACACACTGCCTGTAGAAACCGAGCAGTGATAATTCTGGAAGTAGCCAGTAGTTTTCCAAGAGAGACTTCTCCACTCCAGAAGAATGGACAAAGACGCATCTGTTTCTTGTATTTGGGCAAACAGAGGCAAACAGTACTCAAAATTCTACCTCAAGTGATTGACAACTGCTATTAACCAGGTTTTTCACAGATTTCTAGACACAAGCGTGGAATGGAAAGTACACAACTACAGGAGATTTCCCCCAAACAGCCCTAATTCTTCCTCTCTGTTCTTACCTCCCTCCATCTGAGTAGGACACACAGGAGTTCTCTGCATGCCCCAGTAATATTTAACATAGTTGAGGATATCACCATTAGATAGAAACTATGGAGAGTATGGAATGGGCAGAAACTATGGCAACAGCTTTACTCCTCGTACACGGCAGCAAAGACAACTGGTTTCCCACACTTCTTACTCACGTTACTATTTTTAAGTGCTAGTGGCACAGCGTGTTTTACAGCACTTTCTACCCTGCCAGCTCCACCTCAAAGCCTGTCAGGAGATAACTGCAGAACATGCAGAGTAAGGGGTTATCACATCATACACCTGAGCTTTATAAAATGAAAAATAAGAGCTTATGAGCAGGAAGAAAGTTAGGGTGTTAAAGAGCATTATCATAGAATCCCTACACTGGAAAAGACCTTTAAGATAGAGTCCAACCATTACCCCAGGACTGTCGAGCCCACCACTAAACCGTGTCACTAAGGGCAAACTGATCTCCCCTCATGATCTCCATTCACAGCCACCCCCCCCCATCTGCCCTCTCATAATAGCCCACGCTATATAGCTGCTTCCTGTACATGGCCATCTCTCAAGATATCTCCTCATGGCCACCCCTGATGCCCCATGGTCACCGCTCACACCCCATGGCCACCTCTCCTCTCCCCTCATGATCTCCACTCCCCCCTCACAGCTATGTTTCTTGACCTCCAAACACCAGTGTATTTTCTATTCATTTTGAATAGATCAGCCTTTACTTTTCAGGCTGTGCAGTGCAAATTTTTCTAATATTTTGAGGGTTTAATATATTTATTGTTAATTTAATGAAATTTAGGGTTTTTTTAATTACATTCATTACTACAATATAAGTTCAGTGGCACATCTTTTCCCCACTCCCCAATATTCAGAGACTGAAAATAATTTATATTTGATATTGATGATGAGAGAAGCATAAAGGGTTTGGGGTTTTATTATACCATCAAGAACATTCCAATTGAGGAGCTTCATTTCTGTGCATGGTACTAGCAAATCTACAACAACTAAAGAATCAAGGGATTAAAAACCGGACTGTGACAGTTCAAAAGGCCCCAGGGTTCTCAGACCATCTCTAAGGAATCCTCCTATCCCTAATTAGAACAATTCCTACACAAATGTTCCACCTACACCTGAACAAATAACTTACTCTGAAACTTTAAAAATGCATTACAATGTCGCTGAACTCTGTTCTGCACAAAGGTTTTCATGCTGCTTTTTGCCCATTTTCTTCACTGAACTGAGCCAGAATTTTGCAGAAAGCCAGAAAATACCACATTAAGAGTTCTTAATCCCACTGGATTCTTATCACTGTAATATCACTCTGTCATTCCTTATAGGGAGAAGCCACCTCCCTCCAAATAAAGTGTATATCAATCAGCTCACAAGTAAATACCAAGTTTGATCTCACTTTATTTAGGCTACATTTCATGCCTAGTTCTTTGAGAGTTTATAGACTGTGTAGCAAGAGTTATAAGGAAAATACTTAAAATGGGATCATGTTCTCCAGCAGATACCTTTCACAGATCGGCAAAGAGGTCTGCATAATTTTGTTTACTGAGTGCCAAGCAACACAAATTCCCATTTGCCATAGCAGAATGAGTCCATTAGTTCACATCTGTCTGAAATATCAAAACATGCATTTCCCCACTAATGAATTTCAGACCAATAATTTCACATCCATCACGTGGTTGAAATAAATCCATTAAAGCCTGTGGTATAACTTATTTTGTGGTGGGTACACAGCAAACCGAGCAAGACAGATTTTTGCTGCTAGGCAGAGTACTAAGATGATCCTGATTTATCAGGAATGCTTTGAAAGGACTGAGCAAACCCAGTCTTCAGCAAGATAAGCAAAATTTTACGTCAAAGAAAAGAACAGCCATTCCTGCAGTTTTCTACTGCTGACATCCCTGTGGGGTTTCGCATTACAGGACTGATTATTGTTCTCATCAAATCATTGGACAGGGGAAAAACATCCTATATGGTAAAGAAAGCTGTATTTGCAATGCTTTAGAAGTAGTAAGTTACTAAATGAGCAACGTTTTAAATGATTGGTGTTTAAGATATTTAACCCGAGATCACAAAGTGAGTGTAACCAAGGTGTAAGAACATTCAGCAGTATGTGGAGTTGTCTTGGAGTAATGTGTCTTAAAACAGCTATTTTATTAAAATCCATAGTTCCAAAAACCTTTAAATTCAAAAAGGATGCTGTTAACACTTAATGCACATACTGTGGCAGTAAACTGCTGAGGCTATTTTTTACACAGTCTGACAAACCAGAGCTCACAAAGTCACTGTGATACGAATATGTATGACAGACTTCATTGCTCCAACACGCACCACCTTAGAAACACTAACAATATGCAATGTTATTTCTCCTGCAGATACTATATATCAGAAAACATACCTCTATATCCTGTATTATCTTTGGGTATAAGGACCTGTAAAATGAATTTGGAGGGCCGTCTGTTGGTCTGTTTTTAAACAGGTACTGATCCCTAGAAAGAACCAGAAATGTATTTTTCAATGTAGCACAAAGAATCCAAACTTTAAAGGAATTCAAACTCTGCACAGAACAGAACCTGATGACATATGCACACAGAACACTTGTGAGAGGTTTCAGTATTGCTGTTACAACCCTTGTTACAATTTGACAGCTTTATTTAAATTGTTCAACACTAAAAAGGCAACAGGGGTTTCCCTTACTGTTTTCCAAATTAGGGTTCACTGTTTCAATAAAGCTTTTAGCTGACAGGGTGTTGCCGTCGTGCTCTTTACAATACGCCTTGCATTTTGCCAGGCACACCACTAGAGAGCACAGAGAAACAGGTTTCTGAAGCAGAACGCCCCAACCCTTGGGATACTCTTAAAAGGATAGAAAAACTCCTTTGCCACAAACATAAATGCTTTCTCTTTGAGAGAAGCTTCTGCAGCCCAATGCGCTATTTTACATTTTAAGGAAAAATAATGTTGAATTGGAAATAGTTCATTTGCAAAAAGGAGAGGGGACACAGCCAAAGCAGGAACAGGAGCCCATAGCTCCGTGGCAGACTTACGCATCTTGGTGATACCAATTCACTATAAACTTACTTTTTGGCAGAGCTCTTGATTAGGGCGATTTGTAAAGGAGAACACTGTAAAAGGTGAATTTCGGTACTGTCGCGGTACTTACCAACCCCTTCTTTCTGACAGTCCCTTCCATAGCGGATCTGTGCGTACCATTCTTTCAATCAATTTTTTCCATAGCATTCCTTCAGAGATGACTCTCTGCCATTCCTTACATACCAGCTCTGCTGCACAGAGTGATCTGGCATCAAGATAGGAAAGGATGTTTTCTGCTATGTGATCTAAGCCTTGCTCTACAAAGAAATAAAGGCAATGAAATGTCAATCACTTCACAGTAAACTACTGAACAAACTTTGCAATACATTCAAAGAATCCAACACAGCTTTAAGGCACTGGAGCAACATGGGAATTAAATTATCATACCCAGAAGCACCAGTTACAGACTGATCCACATAGGTACATCAAAATCTGTGACACTTCACTCCTTTCCTAGTACAGTCTGCCTGCTGGACTGTCCCACTTCCACAGAGCAAGAATGAGCACAACCCAACATCTAGCAGTGTGCAAGCAGCAGAAAGCATTTTGCTTCTTCTGGGCACAGAATCCTGGACTTTTTGAGCACATAACACATTGTGTGACATGATCCAAAAAGATTATCATCATCAAGCAGATGGTTTACTAAGCAGCAGTAATAACATGTCAATTCTTTTACTATTTCTTTACATAACAATAGATACTTCAACTCAGAAGACAGGACTGCACAGGAACAAACACAGACATAGTAAGAGTACGAGCAAAAAAACCTGCAAAACAAATCTCACATCAAATGCAAGAACATCTTTTCTATTTAAGCTCCTTCTGTAATCTGCAGGTGCCAAGTAAACTCCTGACTTTTGTTCAGATGGAATAACAGAATCATCATAGAATGGTTTGGGTTAGAAGGGACCTTAAAAGCTCAACCAGTTCCAACCCCCTGCCACAGGCAGGGACACCTTCCACTAGAGCAGGTTGCTCCAAGCCCCTGTGTCCAACCTGGCCTTGAACACTGCCAGGGATGGGGCAGCCACAGCTTCTCTGGGCACCCTGTGCCAGCGCCTCAGCGCCCTCACAGGGAAGAGCTTCTGCACCATAAATTCTAGTGCAAAGTCAATTTAGTTTAATTTAACAAAGATTTCCCAATGTATTTGGAGTAGCCACATGAACTGATAATACCCTTGCACCTTTCCTGCACCTGCTGCTCTCCCACCTTCTATGCTCTGCCACCTTCTACAGCAACAGAAAGACACGTGAGTGTGTGTACCGCTATCTGAGGACACTAGCTTTACTGGGTCAAACAATGAGTTCAGCAATGTACCACACAAGAACGCCCAAGTAAAACAACATTATTCCAAACAAAAGCCTTTTGGCAGCACTCAGATATCCCAGGAACATCTAGGTGTCTGTGCCCATGGCAGGGGAGCTGGAACAAAATGCTCTTTAAGATCCCTTCCAACCCAAACCATTCTAGGATTCTGTTCTATGATTCTATCCACCCGGGCTCTAATTTCACACTCTAATTTCACCTGCAACACAACCTATGTTGGTCAACATGCAATAGTTCTTAGTGCACTGGGGAAGCACTGGCTTTCATCATGAAGATCCTCACTACCAGAAGCAGCCAATTAACCAGTGCGATCCACCATGGTAGGATTAGATTTACATATTAAATGCACTCAACACATCAGCAAATTCAAATATACCAGAATTGGAGTCCTGCCCATTGATCCACATCTATGTAAGGCAATGTGCTGTAATGTATTACTTCATAATTATCAGTTAATACTTATCCAACAGCTCTGGATACTTAGGCTGAAGCCTGCTAAAAATAATAGGCACATCAGTAAAGATAATGAATACAGTAAGCTAGTACCACTGATCTATAAAGACATAACCAGGTGGAATTTGTCTCTGAACTTCGCCTAGACCTTGTCCTTTGCTGAGGGTGTTAGATTCAAAAATGTGATTGCAGTTGAATAGAGGGACCAACATAGAAACCACTCAGACAATCTACTTGCACTAAATTTAAAATAGCATCCAACTTTTCTTGCTCACATTCCAGCTCCAGTGTCACTGGTCCCACAAAAACAATCACTGGAAAGTCTGTCACTTATTTCAAAGGACCTGCAATTTTGCTTTCCCCAAAACTCCACTAGATCAGAGATCTAGAATAACTCCATCTTCATGAATCATGTATGTCATTTGGCCAAGCATGAAAAACATCTTTCAAAGTCAGAGATGACGACCTTTTTAATTTTCCACTTTATCCCATGACAGCCTAATTTAGGCTTCAAAACAGCCCTGAAAAATCAAAGAAACTATTCTTATTTTAAGAATTAACAAAGCGTGCTCATATAGTCCTCCACTACACACTAACTCTGGCATGCCCTTTGTAAAAACGAACAGCAATCAAAAGAAAAAAACAATACATGAAAAGTGTTTCTTCATTTCTTCTCTAATTTAGAGAACTAGAAAAAGTTTAAATAAAGTTTAAACAAATCTTTCAGTATCAGTCATAACAGATTCAAGTACCTGAAGTATAACAAGGCCCAAATAACCTGCGGGTCTCAAATCTAACTATTTCCAAAGCAGTGAAGTCTCTCTTAGAGCAATACCATGTCTCAGAGCAGCTTTAAGCTGCACCATTTTCTGCATAAGAAGTTGAAGAAAATACCAGGGCATTGAAATAAGTCATAAAAGCAGTCTTCCAGTCAAATGCATCCCAGCCTTTCTAGTATCACAGTATGCTAGAGATTGGAAGGGACCTCAAAAGATCATCTAGTCCAATCCCCCTGCTGGAGCAGGAACACCTAGATAAGGTTACACAGGAACGTGTCCAGGCGGGTTTTGAATGTCTCCAAGGAAGGAGACTCCACAACCTCCCTGGGCAGCCTGTTCCAGTGTTCTGTCACCCTCACTGAGAAGAAGTTTCTTCTCAAGTTTAAGTGGAACCTCTTGTGTTCCAGTTTGTACCCATTGCCCCTTGTCCTATCATTGTTTGCCACTGAGAAGAGCCTGGCTCCATCCTCGTGACACTCCCCCTTTATATATTTATATACACTAATAAGGTCACCCCTCAGTCTCCTCCAAACTATAGAGACCCAGCTCCCTCAGTCTTTCCTCATAAGGGAGATGCTCCACTCCCTTAATCATCTCTGTGGCTCTGCGCTGGACTCATTCAAGCAATTCCCTGTCCTTCTTGAACTGAGGGGCCCAGAACTGGACACAATATTCCAGATGGGGTCTCACCAGGGCAGAGTAGAGGGCAAGGAGGACCTCTCTCGACCTACTAACCACCCCCCTTCTAATACACCCCAGGATGCCATTGGCCTTCTTGGCCACAAGGGCACAGTGTCAGCTCATGGTCATCCTGTCGTCCACTAGGACCCCCAGGTCCCTCTCCCCTACACTGCTCTCTAACAGGTCGTTCCCCAACCTATACTGGAACCTGGGGTTGTTCCTGCCCAGATGCAGGACTCTACACTTTCCCTTGTTATATTTCATCAAGTTATTCCCCGCCCAACTCTCCAGCCTGTCCAGGTCTCTCTGGATGGCAGCACAGCCTTCTGGCGTGTCGGCCACTCCTCCCAGCTTAGTGTCATCAGCAAACTTGCTGATAGTACACTCAATTCCCTCATCTAGTAAATCCCTCATCTAGTAAATAACAACTTACAGGTTCTAAATACTGTTTACTTAGGATATATTTATCTTACTGTTACGAAAGAAGCAGTTCTCAAGGTTCTTCCATAAAATATAATCACTGCAAGGTCATTTTCAAGAGTCATGAATCTCTGGGTATCAAGGAGACAAATTAATTCACTGTGCAAAGTGGAGGACACAGCTAGCTAAAAGAAGTAAGGAAAACAGCTCTGCTGAGTAAGCATCCCCCTGATTGTGAAGGTTGCAAGTGTGAATAGGGCACAGGCCGTGTTTTAGCAGGAACAGATCTAACTGTTATTGTAATTTTCAGTACAAAATAGTTATGTTTGACAGTGTAAGATCAGCTCATGCAGAGCAAGTATATCATACAGTCTGTTACATCTGTAACACTGGAATCACACAACACAGTCCCCTACATATTATCCCAGCCTGGAGGACATGCATTTTGAAGAGGACTAGAAAAAATGTTCTACATCAAGCATTGCAGTTCCCAAAGCAAACAGTGCAGAGGATATGACAATTAACCACCATAATTCCATCCCAGACAATGTTCAAGGCCAGGCTGCATAGAGCCTTGGGCAACATGGTCTAGTGTGAGGCAACCCTGCCCATGGCAGAGGGGTTGGAACTGGATGATCTTAAGGTCCTTTCCAACCCAAACCACTCTATGATTTTATGATTAATTCAAACTCTGTATGAATAGAGCTGTACACAGAGGTTCCTGTATAAGAGGTGCTTAAGGCTTCTGCTTCACTGCATCATTTTTCTTTCAGTAACCATTATACAACACCTGAACTTAGCTCACCCTCCTTTCCCTCTCAAGAGAACTAAGTTAGTGCATTCACAATCCTCCCAACATGTGTACACAGTTCAGGGAGTAAAGGTGTATTAGTATTTGCCTCACATAGGGATATTTAGTCAAATCATTAAGTAATAAAAGAGTCTACAGTGCTATGACATGACAGAATTGATAATTCAGTTCAACCAGCATCAGGCTGTTTCAAGGCTGCACATCAAACATAAACTAACTTTGGAAGTAGTTAGAAAAAACTAAGAGTACACACCAAAGTAGGTTGCAGGTAAAGCAGCAGACCCAAAAATTATTAAAAAGGGAGGAAAACACTCTGATGCCAACAAAATTTCTGCAAAATGAAGCAGAATGACAAGTGCACCAGACTTCAGCTTCCAGCTCTTGCAGAGACACGATGCTGCCCTGTCCCTTCCATCTGATAGGCATATTTAATCAGTGGTAGCGTGGCTGAAGAGCAGAGGCACACAGACAAATCCTTTCTGATAGCTTTAACTTCCCATTGTTAGAAGAAAAACACTCCAGCTGTATCTGGGTTCCAAGAAAAGCCAGGAGCACAAGATACACCAATGACAGTCAAAGCTTTCAATGTCTGCACTTTCAAGGAGTAAAACTCTTTACTGGTGAACTGAAAGATTGCAGGTGAAAAAGCAAATGAATAATGCATAGGTCAACATATAAACTGTACAGCTGAAGAAACAGCTGTCCCTGGGCACATTGTGGACAAAATACCACTATCTCTAGTAAAGAATGGGCAACAGGGTTCATGCTGAACAGGTACACATCCAT